CACAATCCATCGTAGAATGCTTTCAGTATCAGAAAAACTTCAAATAACTTTGGTTGGACATTCACTGGAAGAGGAGAGAAACATGGTTTCGTATACAGAAGATATATACTGAACATGTTAAATAACGCCCGCCCAACATTTTCCTTCACTCAGTTTGAAATACGTACTGAGATTCAAGTACACACAAATATTCCGTTACAATAGAACTGCAGTGGGAAGAGTCTAACTATTAAAAAAGCAAACAAAAAATATCAGGCAGCAGTGGTACTGTAGTCTTACCATTCCATTACCTATCTATAACATTAGGAAACAAGCATAAGAGGAATATGCTTTTTTTTTTTTAAAAAAAAAGAAAACAAACAAACTCTAAGAACAGTGCACATTAGCTTACAATATTAAAAGCACCTACCAATGCATTCTGGTTTCCTGAAGCCTTTTTTATGTTTCTTGCTGGCATTCCCTGAAGATGACTAAATCTACCCTGGAAACCTATAAAAAAGGAGTACGAATTGATTTAAGAATATATACTATTTGTTTTTTAAGAATATATCCTATACCATATAACCAATAAAATTCACCATTACATACCAATCTATTAATGTGACTTCAGTCAAAAACACCTTAATATTGTGAAACATTGTACTAGGGAAACAAAGAGCACAGAATGGCAAAAGTGAGAGACAGGCTAAGTTGTCATGAACATGAATATTACTGTAGATATTCTTACTGCCATCCTGGTTCTATGCACAGTTGGCTGCATAAGCAGAGCAGAACTACAGTAGGATAGTGATTTTTGCATCACTTGCAACATAATTTGTACTAGAAAATGTTAAATCTGGTGAATATGCAGAGCCCAAGTCCTCAGAAACAATTCCAAGCGTCAGGAAAATAAGCCTCACAAAAGAATTCAATACATTCAGTGAGCTGAGTACTTTAAAAGTGATCTGACCACTGCTCACATAAAAGATCTGTATTTGCATGTGAAAGGAGTTCCTTGTGGCAGAGGGAAGGTACAACAAAATTCTTTGGCAGCAAGCTGACAACTTCAACCTTAAGAGTGGGTTCCTAGCTGTAAATGCAATCAAACACTAGTACAGCTTACCATTGGATACAATGGATCCACAGTTGTCTGAAGTATTTTCAAGGTTTTTTTTCCTAAGTTACAATCTCAATCCTTGCTCTAAAGGAACATTTCCCTCTTCTCTACAAACAATATGGCCCGACCATAAAGCAAAGCAAAGCTGATGGTCACACTAGTCTTTCCAGCCTTTGAATTAATGAACTTCTATAGAATTCTAAACGTTATCACAGAAGCTAGGAACAAATGGTATATAAAGATTCACTTTAAGTAACACTTAATTCTCAATGCAAACATCGAGACAACAAATAAAAGAGTAGGCTACCAAAATGAGCCAAGTTTTACACTTTCTGACTTTTCTAATAATTGACTTTTTAATTATTTCTCTCTAATGATATCATAAAAATGAAATAGTTCAAGGAAACAAACTGGTAACTCCAAGATCTTGTCAACATTTTAGATACTTTGTATAATCCACAGGCACCTTTGTACTGTACCCAAGTGATTCTAGAGTCTGCATTTGCTTGATTGCTACTTACCTCTCCTCCCTGAACGGGACATAAGAGGGAAAGTACCGGTTAAGATACTTTCAAAGACCGGATCAGGCAATTCTCTCTCCAGTTCTGTGGAGTCTTCTTGCTCCCACCATGGAATGACCCCTGTAATTCCACATGCTCCACCAGATTCATTTTCATGAAACCAATCACTCTGCTCATCATCACCTGTGTGAGGGCAGTATCCCCCCAACTCCCCCAAAAAGAGGGAGGAGCAGAGAAGATAAAAATCAGATGTTACCATCAATGAACACTCTGACAGGACAATTATTTCTTTTGCTTTATACCTGTATAACAATTACTTGTATATAGCAGTTCTATTTGGAAAATGTTTCTCAATAGCATGACAAGCATTGCCATCAATGAAACCACATAAAATGTAATGTTTTAAAACCAATTTCAGTAGTGAAAATAAACTAGTTAATCCTTTGGCAATAACTGCCAGGAAATCCATTTAAGTTACTGCACTTTACATATTAACAAAAACCAAGCCTTAATCTCCTGCAGGGAATTAAAAGGTATGAAACTGTGAAACTAGTTCTTTGCAGCTGATAATGGTATATAATTAGCTTAATTTCATGATTTGTATGGCTAGAAAAAGGGGAAAACAATCATGAACAGATGTGACTAAATGAAGTTAATCTGATTAAGTTCATTTAGAAATAAGTTTTGAAAAAGTTGATTTAAAATGAAAACTGACAGTATCATGTGATTGAGAATTATACTGCATTATACCAGAAAGCTGGTCATTTTTGCTGACAGTATTTATAGATATATTATTTAAATATCTGAATTTAAAGTCAAAAGTAAGACAAAACTGAAAATCTGATCTTAAACTTAGCTCATAAACACACTGGCATCTAAAAATAAATTGCTATATTTGTTTTAAAACGTGTTCTTTTATACAAACCATGTAGCTTACAGAAGATCAGAAAATATCTTCACAAGACATAGCAAGTTTCCTTTCTTACACCCAAAAATTTGATTTCAAAGGATGTGCTGTATATTTTAATTCTGCTTCAAAGTATCCGAACCACGCCTCACTATTTTTGCATATAAATTTTTTTTGGCATTTCAATTTTTAGTTAGGCAGCTCTAAGCAAGACACAAATGCAAGATTTATTAGACACAATTTTCAAGAACAGAAAGCATTTGTGTAAAATTTCATTGCCACTCAATGTCACAATGGGAAAATACAAATAATGAAAAACCAAGCTGAAATTTGAGGAAAAATAAAATTCAACACACTTTCTCTGAATAAATTGTTGGAATGGAAACAATACTTCAACACCAAGCACAAGTGAAAATGGCTGTAAACATTCATCAGGACAAGTAATTAAAGAAAATATAGAATAATTAAGGCCCCTCACTGGTCACTTGCAGGTGAAATGTGATCCTTGCGTCTTTAATTATCACTATCAGCAAAATTAGCAGAGGCTAGAGAACAGAAACTTTTAGATAGAGGAAGGAGAAAACAGGGGCAGGAGGAGACACGTAGGTCCAAATAAGATTTAAGTTTCTTTGCATTCCTGGCACATTTCAGATTTCTCTCCATATTTATTCTAATCCTTATTTATAGCTATGACATTTCACAAAGGCGTTCACCATTAATTCTATCCTCGTTTCATTACAGACAGGTATAGTTTCTTTGGAGGATGTCTAAGAGTACTGAATAGAGATAACGGTGGTAGTGGAGGGAGAATCACACCTTTTCATTAGATTGATCTGTGGTTCAGAATTAAATTTGAACTCCTTTGTTTAGATTTTTCCAAAATCTTATGTAGATAAACTTTGTCTGAATATATTTTGCCATAAGATGAGACCCCTAGATACCTTGACTAATAAGAAATACTATCAGGAACTCAAAAGAAGTCTTCTTACACATAATTGGGCTATGAAATTTCAGTAGAGAATTCTGAAACTGGGTTTCACAATTGGCTTAAGGACAGAAGTCTGTAAGAGGTATGCAATGCAGTCTCGGAAGACAGACCTAGAATTTAAGACTGGGTTGGTGCACTGCAGGATAAGGCAAATAGTGGCTATGGAAGGAAACATATCTTTGCTATATGCCCAACAACAGTTCTTGGGGAAAAAATACAAAATTACCTTTCCTTTCTATGCAATACGAACATTATTATGTTAAGCAACTATCTGTTAAGACATCTTACCTGTTATGCTTTTATACACTTCCCTAAGCACTTATGTTGCTTACTGCCAAAGGCATAATAAAGGACTTAAGATCTGAATCTTGTAGGCTTTTCCCACATGACAGCAGAATCCAGGTATACCTGTTTTTTAGCTTCCTTGTCTGTGCACTCTAAACAACTCTGAATCCTTTGACTGTTTTCAATCATATTATCACCTTGAGGCAAGCATAAATCTATTACTACTATTCTTAAGCAGTTGAGAGCACCCACAGGCATTTTGTTTACCAGTTGGTCCACCCTGAAGGGATGCCATTTTCAAAAGGAGTCAGGGAAGACCATTGCATTTAATCAATTCCTGACCTCATATGTATAGGCAATTGTCCTGGTTTCGGCTGGGATAGAGTTAATTCTCTTCCTAGTAGCTGGCATAGTGCTGTGTTTTGGATTTAGTAGGAGAAGAATGGTGATAACAGGCTGATGTATTTAGTTGTTGCTGAGTACTGCTTATGCTAGTCAAGGACTTTTCAGCTTCCCATGCTCTGCCCGGTGCACACGTGAGAGGGGGCACAGCCAGAGTAGTTGATCCAAACTGACCAAAGGGCTATTCCATACCATATGACGTCATGCTCAGTATATAAACTGGGGGGGTTGGCCAGGGAGCAGCGATCGCTGCTCGGGATCTGTCTGGGTATCGGTTGGCAGGTGGTATGCAATTGCATTGTGCATCACTTGCTTTGTATATTGTTATTATCATTATTATATTGTTATTATCATCATTACTCTTTTACTTTATTTCAATTATTAAACTGTTCTTATCTCAACCCAGGAGTGTTTCTCACTCTTACCCCTCCAATTCTCTCCCCCATCCCATCGGGGCAGGGGGAGTGAGCGAGTGGCTGCGTGGTGCTTAGTTGCTGGCTGGGGCTAAACCACAACAGCAATAAAACACAGAGGCCTCCCCGCACAAAAGTTTGGTAACCAAATACTTGGATTTTATCCTACTTAATTTGCAGCTCTCAAAAGGCAACACAGTATCCATAGCAAACATGAACTTACGAGAATTAAAAATTCAAAGCAGCATTTTTGACTTCAAAATACTTAAAGATTCACTACACTGTCCTTTCCTCTTAGGGTTGCTGAACCTCTATTCAGCACAAGGCCACAGCAAATTATTGTATTCTTCCAAGCTACAGGAAAGGTAAACCAACCTCCTCTCCAAAAACTGACCTCTGAGCCCATGCATTCTCCTAGCCACATATTTAAAATACAACAAACCCATTTGTGGGTAATGCTAATTGCTTCAAGGAATTACTTCAAAGCAATTGACATTCAATTATAACTGTACTGATCAGTTAAAAAAAAAAAAATCAATTTAAGGCTCAGAAATGTCAACTTCAATTCTAAATTTTCAAGGCACTTCAGTTCCTGGCTTTATTTATTTATTTTTAAGCTTTCCCCTCCCCCTGGTTACTGTTTCCCTAATTTTCACTACTGTATTAAGTCTACATATTTATCTAATTACCACTCCCTCATGTTAAATTACTTGCCTTCCCCTTTAAGAAGTTTAGAAAACTATTTATGTGGGCAGTTTCTCTATGAACACAGACCCCATTTGCATCACCATCAGTTTCATGTTCAGAATAGCAAAATAGCTTCACCTGAATCTTATTTGAGCTAAAGCAGTGCAGAATTATAACAGACTTTCCACTGCACACAAATAGTTTTCCCCCCTTTCCTAGTTTTATTTCAAAACAGCCAGACTACCCTCCACAGCAGTCACACATGCTGTATGTGTGCTTGCCTATAACAACCACAACCTACTTTGAGAGGCTACCATGAAGAGAGTCGGCATCAGTGTCCTATAAACACCACTTGGTACCGTGCTGCTCCATTATCCATCAACTTGCACATGGAAAGCAATAGCACACGGACTGTAAAATAGGATGCTAGTCTCATTTCCACGATCAGTATACCTCTAAGTAAAAAAAAACCCCACAAACAAAAAAACTCACCCACTGCTAACAGCTGTAATAATCATTTGGAGACATCAGAAGATTAACTATAACACATACAAGGAGTTTCAGAAAAGCAGAAGCTTAAGTTACCCATCCACAGAGGCACATTGTATCTCGCTCTTTGTGCTCTACAGAGCCACCTTGGCAGAAGAGATAGCAGGACACCATTCAGACACCATTCAATTTAAGCAGCTAGTTCTTCTGATTCAAGCTTGAAAACTTCACATGAAGGTCTTCTCCCACCCCCCCATCCAATGTAATATCATACCCTGCTCTTGAGTAGAAGGACTGTAGAGGTGTGCCGTTAATAAATTGGACCAAGGATATCACACGATCTCAGCTTTATGTTCACCTCTACCGCTATGATCCACATGCAATATTTAGGATTTCAATGATTCAGGTCATATACAACAACTTCATGTTATTTCTTTTTCACGTGCAAAGACTATAAACTAATTAGCCACAACAGTTCAAAACTGGTGTGATCACACTTAGCATTTCACATTCCATGTCTTTTATATATGGAGAACACCACCCTGACTGACACCTGCAGCTACTGAGATGCTATACAAGGTCCAAATTAGTTTCTCACTACAGAAGAGAAAAGGATGGAATTCTCACATACTGAATCAGTAGTGGGTCATCTTCATAAAGGACACAGTAATGAATATATGTTTAATCATAAAATAATGAACAGCTATCTTTAAAAGCTTAGCCACAACCACAGTGAAACTCTGACATTCCCCGACCTTCTCCAATTTTAACTGTTTAACACTTTATTAATATAATTTTCCTTCCTACTTGCTTAGATCTTAAAGGACATTTCAAGTGCTGCATGCCATGATTTAAGAGGTCTTAAGTCAAACTTTGAATTTCCCCAAGTGTACTAGTAGGTGTAGATGGACTAGGAATGCAGAATATAATGTTTTATTTGCCATACCCACACTATAAAATTCATTAAAGAATATACTTGCAATTTGACTTTTTTTTTCCCAAACAGCAATAGTATCAACTAGCGTTTGAATAATGTTACAGTTTTGTTAACATTGTGTTAAAAGCTTAACTTATTGAATTTCCCCAAGTGTACTAGTAGGTGTAGATGGACTAGGAATGCAGAATATAATGTTTTATTTGCCATACCCACACTATAAAATTCATTAAAGAATATACTTGCAATTTGACTTTTTTTTTCCCAAACAGCAATAGTATCAACTAGCGTTTGAATAATGTTACAGTTTTGTTAACATTGTGTTGAAAGCTTAACTTAAAGTGCCTTTAAGTTAAAGTGCCTTTGTAAAGTGCACCTGTGAAGTGCCTTAACTTGAAACTGCAGGTGATCCTACTAGCTAAGCTTGTAATAATGGAGTTATAATATATGTTGCAACGTAAGACTAGACCTTTTGTTTTGAAACTCTTCTTGCAACAGTTTTCTACACTGGGCACAACACTGCTTAGCACTGAAGTTTTTAATAATTGCAAAACAGCCATTTATGAAAATGCTATTAGGAACAAAGGAAAGAGTAGGAAGAGAAAGGAAAGTCACAAAGACTTCTGATACATAAGCTCCAGCCAACTGTTCAGTTGTTTCACTTTGGTGGAAGGCTCTCCCACCTCCATATTCAAGGCCTCAAGGGCTTGATATTGCCATAGGATTTTGGGTTTTTGCTAACTATATTAAATCTTACCCCAAAGTTGGCCAATTTACAACCCTCTGAAAAAAATACAACCCATAAGAATTCACCTGAGGTTTGTTAATAGTCAGCAGTTAATAGGTAGCAGCTATGTTCTTCACTGACTGTACCTGCACTGAGCATTTTCCATGTTCTTTAAGCTTTTGCTGGCTAACTGTACAGGGTATGCAATGTTTCACAAAAGAAAAACGTTTGCCACATCGGGACTGCAAAACATTCAGTACCAATTACTTCTGCCAGAAGGTATATATAATAGTGGAACAGAGCACAGCAAGAGAGCTGCTTTTGCCCTCTCATATGACCTAACGTAAGCATCTGGGTACCTTGGAAAAGGAGAACAAGCGTGGCTAGGTTCAGATGAGGACTCCATAGGAACAAACCAAATCAAACAAACAAAAAAAAGCTAAGAGACTGGCACAGAGGCAGGCTGGAAAGGAAAAGGGTATAAAGGTTTTTAAAAAAGGTAGACAGCATACCATATATTACAAGTTGAACACAGGATTTTCAAGTCTCAGCAATTTTCTTTTATCACAGCAATTGATGGAAATTAAATTATATCTAGCAATTAACCCACTACTACCCCCAATTACAGCTACACCCGATTTTCTTGAATCACATTATAGAAGTTGAAACTCTTCCGCTAGTCTGTGCACAGAAGAGTACAGTTACTGTGGTGGAATTTATTTCCCTTCTCTTTCTGAAACAATTTTGGAAAACATTAAAAGTTGCAAGGTTAGATGCTCCGAAGTTCAGAACTAAATACTCAACTATTTAACTGACTGGCCAACTGCTCAAAGAAATTGCTGCTTTAGATCACTTGCTTTTCTGGAATGTCTGTCCCATAGGATGAATCTGCTTTGGAAATTAATTAGGGTTTTATAAAGAGTATTTGTCTGCAATAAATGTGATATGGTTCTTAATCTCAGAGACACAAAATGAACAAATCTTGCCCTGGAGAACAGGATCCTCTTGTCCTCTGCTACACAAACTTCTGAATGATGGCAGGCACATCATTTAAACCAAGTATTTCACCAGGCAGTATTAATCAATCTCTGGTTCTCCACTTGACTTAGTGGAAACCTGAAGTCAGAAGTGCAGAAAATTTGAACTACAAATAAGGTCAAGATGCTGATATTCTGAACATAGATCCTGGAGGAGGGACACCGGGAGGGACAGGAATCAGTCTATCTTTTAAAAATGGACAACAAAATCAGCCAGTTCTTCCCTTAATACATTTTCATCCTGTCCTCTTCCAGCTTCATTCCTCTCACCTAGGCTTTTCCTTTACTTTTATCAGATTTGTTTTCTCCTTCCCTCATTCTTTTCAATTTTATATGTGTCTCAGCTCAACTAGAAATTAATTTACAGAGATAAAATAACCTCATCTTACTTCATAAGAGGATTACAAAGATAAAAATTACTAGCGTTTTCTTGGGGGGGGGGGAATAAATATTATTAGAAAATAAACAATTTTGGGTTTGCAGTAGGATCTCTGATAATACTTTCATGGAAAAGTCTTCACAAAAACCAAAGCTATAATGGAGATCTAAGAATGTCTGAGATCCAGTGTGAAGCTAATGGTCTTCTGATCACACCCACAAAATAACTAGTTCAACGTAGAGATAAAAAATAGTGTTTTGTCCTGACAATATCCTTCTGAAGTTTAATAATCATTGTTCTTTATATTTCAGAATACTATTTCAGGTCTAATGCTTTCTGCTTGAAAATTACGATCAAACCGAATCAACGTTCAAAACTCAAACAGGCAAAAATAAGAATTACAGCTCTATAGTATAGAAACAACACTAAAAAAGGTTCACCAACCCCCCTGCCTTCTGCCTCCCACTAAATATACCAGAAAACCAGAAATTAACTGAGACGTTTTCAACCATATTATTCAAAGCTTTAAATAATTTAGTTCAGGATTTAAGGACAAAAATATTCATACAAATATATCAGAAGGGTACTTCAAAAATGCATGTAATTATGAAATGTGACAGGTCACATTACATACAAATATAGACAAAAGTTTTAAAAATTGTAAGTCAAAAGAGGAATTCATATAGGGAAGTAAAAGCAAATCTTCTTGACGTGTCTCATATTGAAATACTTTTCATCTGAAGTTAAAAGATCAATCTAAACTTTCAAAGAGAGACTAGATTCTTCAAAAAGGTACATGTTAGCAAAACTAACAACAGATACTCAGACCAGGAGGTACAGTTTATGTAGCACAAGTTACTGTTGAGCAAGGAAGGTAACACCTCTGTTCTAAGTCTGAAAAATCATCTCCCTACTGTAACATTAAAATAGAAGATTAAAAAAACAGAAGAGACTGAATTATACATTAGAGAAAGGGAAAAAAAAAAAGAACACCCCTTTAACCTATATCTGTGGAATGGGCCAGGATTTGTTTTCTTGCACACACTCAAGTAGTCTGTGGCAAACTGCATAAGAAAATAATCCCCACTACCATTAACTTAGAATCGCCAACAGAAAAGCAAATCTTAATCACCTGAGAGACTATTTTTGCCTCATTTTTGTATACTGTCAATGAGAGCAATTTCCTATTCCATGAGATGGGCACTAAGATGCTGGCATAATACAGGTAAATGTGTTGCACTTAAAGATGTCAATAAACACTAAAGCTGAAAAAAAAAATCTTATACTTCCATCCTCAATAGTTCTATCACATAAGAACACATCAGAACATTATGCATACTAAAGGAAAATTTTGAATCTTCACTGCATTTTAGATTAAAGAAAGTTTTTTTCAGAGGGGAGAGATTTTAAACAACATGCATCTTCTGATCTCAATCTTAGAATGCTGAAAAAACTACTTTTCAAACAAACTATTGAATGAAAAAGAACTATAAAATCCTGCCATATCAATTTGGAAGAAAAGAAAGAAAGAAAGAAAGAAAGAAAGAAAGAAAGAAGACACCTCAAGAATAGTTTCAGAAGCAGTACTACGATCACAGAGTCCTCTCTGAAAATTGGAGCAATGGTAGAATTAAAACTTAGTATAGAGAATCTTTTGGAGATGCTCAAGTTATAAGCAAGTTTATTATATTACTGCTTCTCAAGACAGCTTTTGACTAAGCCATGGATACAGGACACCCTCTAGTAACATTTCAAAAAACCCAAGAAAGCAAGCTATGCTTCAACTCATTAAAATAGTAATAGCAACTGAAATATAGTAATTACCCTATGAAATAACTTGTAACGCTTACAGAATTTCAACTGATGTGGTTTGAGGGGTGAAGAAGGGAAAGATTGTTTCAATACCTTGTCTTCCCTCATCATTGGTAAACAAACCAGCATCACTGCTGCTCAGACTGCTGGATTCACTGTAATAAGAGAAAGAAAGAAACAGATCAAAAGAACAATTGATCTTTCAGTCGTAAAATTTTAAGGAGACAAGGCTGTGCTCAAATTGAACTTAAGCCCAACAAAGATCGGAAAGAAAATAGGATGATTTTTTTTTTTAATCAAACTGCAAATATCCTAGTTCCATTAACTACAAAGCATATTATTTTTGGCACATAAAACCACAGGAATCTAATGGTACCCTGACAGTAAGCCAGATGTGACTGCAACGAGGTGCTGACACAATTGATGCATTTTATTATCTGCTTCCATCAAATGCTCACTGCTTCCTTCTTATGTTGTGCAATTCAGCTTGATCCTGGAACACCACTGCTCAATAAAATAGGAAAAGTCTCAATCAAAACAAGCCTAAGCCTTCCTTCAGCACATGAAATATAAGAGTCTGAAAATCGAATTACCTTTCTAAACATCATTTGCAAGTATTCTGGAAAAGACATGGCTTAAGGTTTCATGACATACTACTTGGGAAGAAAGAAAAAAGTTTATAACAAAGGTAGCCAATTAAATCAAAATAAAGGTCACCCTGAAGAAAAAAGTATGATCAATGATCATAAAATCAACAAAAAAAAAGCAACATACAGTTTACTTTTCTGTGACTTCCATCAAGGCCTTAAAATTAGAATGTGTGTACACAACATGCACAATTACCCATTATATTGAAAGAAATCAATAGGTAAAGTATTTTGTTCTTTGCTGTATACATGTTGCTACAAACAACATGCCACGTGTCTCCAAATAGTAAAATGGGTGAGTTTCATGCAAAAGGATTTTTTTAATAAATCATTTATTTAATTTTTTGTCAGTAGAGTAGCTCTGCTAAGGAAGCAATAGTCTCACCAAAATTTAATCACATTTTACTTAGT